ATTAAAAAATGATGACAACACGACATTTTGACAACAGTCCTGGAAATAAATTTTATCGTTAATGTTTACGTTAATGGTTTCAGGTCATTCAATAATTAATTATTTTTGAATAACTGAAGGTGTCACCACGTCACCATGTGTCACCAGGTTAATTAACTTCATTAAAAAATGATGACAACACGACATTTTGACAACAGTCCTGGAAGAGATATAAAAATTGCTCACATTTGCTCACATTTTGGCACTTTTTTGTACGTTTGTCAAAAAATTGTGAGAAAGATCTCACAAAAATAGTCAAAATGTGAGCAAATTTTGAGAAGTGCTCACATTTTGACATACGATTATTTTCATACGTTTTTTTGATGAATTCTAATAAAACTTCATTACCACTTTCAGAACGAAGCGTAACTTTTCAGCACGTAACGCTCTATCATGTGTAGTGACATATTATTCAAAAAAACTCAGATTGCTTATCTTATAATAACAATTTCATTAGAAAAAATGCACGATTTCACGCTAAAACATTGAAGCAATTCTTAAATTCGGATAAAAAATCGATATGTATTACACTTTAAACTTCAAAAAATGGTTCAAAATTTAGACTTAGTTTATCTTAACAATATAGCAGATTTTAAGCCGAACAAGTAGGAGTAATAGAAATAGCTCTTGAAAATAATTACAATTAGTAATATGTAAGTCAAAGTTCGAGTATTCTAATAAATAAACGTTCCGGATTTTCTTTACTACAAGAATCAATACTTAATATATAGAAGCAACAGTAAAAACTTATTAGAGATTCAAAAAGAAAGTTGACTAAAGAGAATCTTTTTATATAAGTAATTTTATTTTTTTGAAATACGAGATCGAATAAACATGTATTTTATTTTATTACTATAATAATACGTTTTTACATAGTAAGAAAGTTTAGAGACTGAAATGAAATTAAAAATTGAGAAAAAAATAAAGCTTTTCTATAAAAATTCATATTAATATATAGTATAATGATATTACAATTTATTGATAGTTGTGTTAGAAAAAAGGTACATTCACTATTTTTGACAAAATTTTAAATTTTCATGGGGTTGTAAATCTTATAATAACTAGATGAATAAGGAATAAATCCCAGTATGATGTGCATCATTATATTAAACACTATATGTAAGGCTGGTGATTCTATTAACACTTATGAAGATCTATAGTATTTGAGCAGATAAATTTGATAATTTCCAAAACTCTTATATTTCAAAATTAAAGTGTGCGAATGCATTTAAATGAGAGCAAAAAGAGATTGATGCTGTTAAAACTATGTGTTAATTTGCAATTATTTCGCATCACAAGAACTACCCAGTAAATTCGGCTATCTTTCTTTGCAATTATTCTCCATTATACATATAATATAATGGTTAGGGTTTGAAGAAAAGTTACTAGAGAATTATTGACTTTTGAAATAATGCAGAATTTTACTTGAAGAAATCATTAATTTATGAGTTCCAAATTGCTAAGCATGACGAAGGATCATTAAATTTGCTACAATTAAATACACTTATTGCAGAATTAAGATTTTTGAAATTAAAAGTTTGAAATATTGCCTTTTTGAATAAAAATTTAAATTTTATTATATAATCATGATAATATCTTATAGAAATTAAAAGAAAATATTTTAAACCATTCAAATATTTTGAATGTCTTATCAATTTAAAATATTAAAAGATAGCTTGATTTTATCATCATTAGTTGTTATCAAAGTTTTCTTCTTTTGATGAACAACAGTAAATGATTTGTTAATTACTTGTCTTCCTTTTTCGCAGCAAAATCGAAAGTTATGATGATAATCTTGCTCTCAATTTTGAAACTCTCTGATTTACAAGTAAGCATTCCTTTGGAAAAGCAGTCCTATTCTGTTTTCAAGATATTTTAAAGCCTCAATTTCATACAATGCGCAGATCTATTCGAAATTGCAAGAACTCTCAAGAAAAATGCAGCAGCAAAGAAGATTCCATAGTTTCTAGCATCAAAAATTTACAACCTTAATACAACAGTTAAAGAGAAGCTCGAAAAGAAAATATTTAACCATAAAGCTGGAAACCATTCGATATCTACTATTGGATCTAATAAAAAGTTAATTATAACATATTTAACATGCTATTTGTTGACTTTGTTCCATTATATTACCATATATACCTTTTTGAAATCTAAAATATTTTTACAATTTTAACCATGTGTTGTTGAAACCATATATCAATCTTAGCTAAAGTATAGTTTATGAGTCTGTCACCATCTAACGTATGAATTTTCAAAAATGTCAAATATGTTCATTTTTTCTGTAGATTCAGCCATAATTTCACGTTGTTATACTATTCAACTATTATTTAATATTTTTATCGATTTAAATATATGATGAGATGCTTAGTTCTCCTGGAAATCGATTTTTAATCGCAATTTTAACTTTCCAAAAAAAATTCAAAAATAAAAATCCCTCTCAATTTTCTAAGTTTTATAACTCGCCAAATCTCTAGCCAAATTTTTTTGGCCCGTATAAATATTGTTTGGCACTATATAGGGATGCTATTTATCATATTTTCATCCCATTTTACTGTTATCACCTAGTGAATGTACCTTTGTTAGAAAAAATATACAACTAAAATGTCAGTTTTAAAAAATTTAAAAATTATATTAAAACAATAGTCATTGAGGATGGTTAATTGCAAAAACTCAAGAAACTATCATTATCTCTCTTTGCTTAACACATCTACAACTGGAAACATCATTCCAAATGAAGTTCCTCAGTCTCGTCAAAATTTCTCTCTCATCTACAACAAGCTTAACTCAAAACTCAAGAAACTATCATTATCTCTCTTTGCTTAACACATCTACAACTGGAAACATCATTCCAAATGTTGCATTCAAGAATCCTATTATTATTCTTTCTTTCAATCTTTTATATTTACTCTTTAAATTCTAATATAATATAAATTCTTCATTTCCTTTGTTTAAACTTTTTTCATTTTAATACCATTTTATCAGATAGTAATTTTTGTTTTTCTCTGACCAAAAATCTTCTCAATTTAACTCCACCTTCACAAAAATTCATTGAGTTCTCTCAAAATTCTTGTATTTTTGGTATACTTAAAGTATCATCTTCAAATATTTTTTTGGAGAAAATTGACTTTGCATAATATCGTAATACTTTTTAAGGCAGATAGATTTACCGTAAGTTGAAGAACTTTTAATTTGAACAGAAATTATTCAACAAATATTCTTTTTATTTGATCAAGATACGTATACCAATATGATCTACTTGCTAGGGATATGTAGATCACGTTCAGAATTTGCCAAGTTTGGTGAATATCTATGGGATTAGGGACATCTATTTAATTTAAGAACTAAAAATTAGCATAGGCGTATTATGCTGTTACTGAAATATATTTTGGATGTATAAATTTTTACTTAATACTCTTTTATTGTTATCATTTTTAAAGATTTTTTATTATGAGCAAAAAAATGGCAAGACAATAATATATTGTACATGCAATTTATTATTACTGAATAAATTTATCAATCAAATTTGATCACATACAATTTTTACAGATAAATACATTATCTCAAAAAATATCTATATATTAGTATATGTTACACGAAATGTAATAAAATGTATTACTTTGGTTTATCAATTTATAAATAAGAATGAAAATTTGTTATAGCTTTGTTCCAATATTTATTTTTATATATTTAAGTTATCCATTTTACTGTTTTCATTCATATTTATAACAAAATTAGAGTCCTTACATTATTTATCTTATTTCAATAGTGATAAAAATCAACTATATTTTGTAAGATCTTAAAAAGTGACAAAATGGAAAACTACATTAAATTTATTTATAAGGATACAAAATTATATGTCATTCCACCAAGAGCGGTTAAAGCATTAACACTTTATTTATATATATCTCACAAGCTAAGTTTACCTCTAAACACATTCGAATTAACAACAAATAACTACATCATACTGGGATTTATTCCTTATTCATCTAGTTATTATAAGATTTACAACCCCATGAAAATTTAAAATTTTGTCAAAAATAGTGAATGTACCTTTTTTCTAACACAACTATCAATAAATTGTAATATCATTATACTATATATTAATATGAATTTTTATAGAAAAGCTTTATTTTTTTCTCAATTTTTAATTTCATTTCAGTCTCTAAACTTTCTTACTATGTAAAAACGTATTATTATAGTAATAAAATAAAATACATGTTTATTCGATCTCGTATTTCAAAAAAATAAAATTACTTATATAAAAAGATTCTCTTTAGTCAACTTTCTTTTTGAATCTCTAATAAGTTTTTACTGTTGCTTCTATATATTAAGTATTGATTCTTGTAGTAAAGAAAATCCGGAACGTTTATTTATTAGAATACTCGAACTTTGACTTACATATTACTAATTGTAATTATTTTCAAGAGCTATTTCTATTACTCCTACTTGTTCGGCTTAAAATCTGCTATATTGTTAAGATAAACTAAGTCTAAATTTTGAACCATTTTTTGAAGTTTAAAGTGTAATACATATCGATTTTTTATCCGAATTTAAGAATTGCTTCAATGTTTTAGCGTGAAATCGTGCATTTTTTCTAATGAAATTGTTATTATAAGATAAGCAATCTGAGTTTTTTTGAATAATATGTCACTACACATGATAGAGCGTTACGTGCTGAAAAGTTACGCTTCGTTCTGAAAGTGGTAATGAAGTTTTATTAGAATTCATCAAAAAAACGTATGAAAATAATCGTATGTCAAAATGTGAGCACTTCTCAAAATTTGCTCACATTTTGACTATTTTTGTGAGATCTTTCTCACAATTTTTTGACAAACGTACAAAAAAGTGCCAAAATGTGAGCAAATGTGAGCAATTTTTATATCTCGTCCTGGAAATGTCGTGCAGACCAAAAATAAAGTTAGTTTTAAAATTATTTTTATTTTTTTATTCCTATATAAATGACAGCAACAAACAACAACAGCAACTTTATCGTTTCTGATGAAAAAGTTATTGATTCATTAGCTGAGGAATTAGTTGTGGCAGAAACTAAAACCCTCAACGAAAGGATTAGTGAAAACAAGATTGATTTACATAACTACCTCAAACATGATGGAGGAAGAGGAAGGAAAACTGGTATGGCTTTATTAGTAAATAAAATATCAAATTTAACGATTATAGATGTTGATATCAATAAATCATACAATGATGAACTTAAAGAAACGGTTAGAAAAGACATTCTATCAAAACTTTCGGATAAAGATGTTATCATTAAAACCGCTTCAGGAGGTCTTCACATTTATTGCAACACTAATTTCTTCTATGCAGTTTCGAACAGAATGATTAAATGTTATTCCTGCAATGATTATGATATCGATATCATGACTTCTATGGATGATTCAAAGCGTTCTTTAGTGGTTATGGCTGATTCAAGAGTTCGCAAGAATGCAACAGAACCAATCAATACATACTCATTCATTCGTGGAAGTTACGATTCAACATTAACTAGAACAGTGAATGATATATTAAATGATTTGAATATTAAGGTAAGAGTTGAACAGAAGAACGAAGAAATAAAGACCATCATGAATGAAAACAAAGATGTAAACATTGACGATAAACTTGCCCAGAGCATAGTTGATGGCATTAGTGATTTTGAAGTACATAATGACGGTGGAAACATGAATTTAGAAAAAGAAGTTACATTATTCACACTGTTTCAAGCAATTAATTCGTTACTGGATCATTTAATTAATGAAGCATACGATAACGTTTATAACTTCTGCAGTTTAACAGAAAATGCAAAAAGTAATTTTGAAAAAGCACGTAGTAGATATGCACATTTAATGACTTCTCCATTTGTTTTAGTGAAGATTCTAAAACTATATCAAAAGGAATATTATGATGAATACGTTTTGCCTTTATTACGTAAGCCAAAAATAACATTTGATATAAAACTTGATGACTCGTTTTTGATAACAGATATTAGACGCAAGGCTGAAAATCATCAGTATAAAAACAGTTCTGAAGTAATTGAGGATTTATCACGTGTAATCCGTTTTGTAGATTGTGGAAATAAATATTTCATTCAAAAGGACTATAATATCCACGACAAAATGAATCAAATATCATTCGTTCTTCAATCAAACATGAAAGAGTCACTTAAAATGATTAAATTATTTAAAGAAGAAGGTAAAACCATAACAGCATGGGATGTACTACTAAATCAATTATCCTCATTAACCGTTAAGGGTGTTTGCTTTAAATCTGATTCCCCAGATGTTTTCTCAACGTTTCAAGGTTATAAATACAACGTTCTCGAAAAGCCTGATTACTCAAAAATTGAGATGTTTATGAATTTCATTAAAGAAGCCATATGTGATAATAACGATGAAGTGTATAAATACCTTCTCGGCTGGATTGCCTCAATGATTCAACATCCTGGAATCAAGAATGAAACAGCAATTATTTTGAAAGGACTTCAGGGAACAGGTAAAAACAGATTTACAGACATTATTTCTGAACTTCTCGCTGGTTATTCATGTAAAAACATTACTGAAATAGGTGAGCTAACGGGTAATTTCAATTCAGTAGTTGAGAATAAAATGTTTCTTGTACTTAATGAACTCAAGAATGTTGGTGAAGATAGACTCGCAAACTTCAACGCTTTGAAATCAATTATTACGGATAATGAGATTAGAATTAATGAAAAGAATCAACCCAGAAGAACTGCTCAGAATGTTGCCAATTTCATTTTGGTAACTAATAACGTCTACCCTGTCAAAATTGAAGTTGGAGACAGAAGATATGTAGTTTTAAGAGTTAATGGTAAATTCAAGGGTCAATTTGATTACTTCAAGAATTTAATGGATTCATGCACAAAGGAATTTTATGATAACCTTTTAACATATTTTATGCAATATGACCTTTCATCATTTAATGTACGAATCATACCGATGACTGAAGCCAAACAAGATTTAATAGAATTATCAACAAATCCTTTAGATGTATGGATAAATACACATTATGATGAACTGTGCGCAGGTATGACATGTAAAAATGCTCTATTCTGCAAACCATCAGACATGAAAGACAAGAATTTCCAAATGAGTATTAAGGATAAATGTGATAGGAAACAGAGAAGAATAGATGGTAAACAAACATGGTGTTATGTTTTGAAAGAAGAAATGAAAGGATTATATAAACAGGTTGAACCAAACGATAATGAGGATTCATTTACTGACGATGAAATACCTGTAAATGAAGCTTTATAAAGTATGATTGGAATTTATTTTTGCCTTCCTCCTTTCGTACCTGTTGTCAAAATGTCATGTTGTCACACTTTTTTAAAGAAGTTAATTAACCTGGTGACATGGTGACGTGGTGACATCTTCAGTTATTCAAAAATAATTAATTATTGAATAACCCAAAACCATTAACGTAAACATGAGACTTTGTCTCCGGACTCTTTGAGTCACTTAACGTAACCATTAATTTTCATAAATGTTGTCAAAATGTCATGTTGTCACACTTTTTTAATGAAGTTAATTAACCTGGTGACATGATGACATGGTGACACCTTCAGTTATTCAAAAATAATTTTCGTAAATGTTGTCACAAACTTTAGAACGGCATAATTTAAATTTTTATTTTTATCATAAATGGATACCCCACAAGCTCAAAATTTACCACGAATCATAACAAGGGAGGAAACGATAAAAATGATGCGAGAACTTGCTAAAAATAACAAACCACTAAAACTGAGAAAATGTGGTTATGCAGTAATGATGGAAAGAGAGATGTTGTCGAAGAGGAATAAAAATTAAATTTGGATAGAGTTTAAAAATTCATCTTTATTAAATTCATCTCTTCCAATCAATTTATTTATTCTATTAAATTCTTTTATTTTTGCTTCACTCAGTTTAAGGATTGAACGGTAAGTTTCTAATTTTTCGATTATTTCTTTCCTCTCTTTATCGTTTTCACTTCCTTTAGTTTTATGGGCATCAGCCCCACCGCATTGCGGCTTCTTTTTGTAATAGCATATTTTTGATTTAATTCTGTTTAGTTTCTTTTTATATTCATCGTCTGGACTCTTGGATGCTTCGTTATCACTCATTTCTTACGAAATAAAGAATTAAATATTATTTAAATATAATGGAGTAATAAAATAAATCGGAATTTCTATTAATTTATTGTCAACTTCAACTAATGCATTGCCGTTAATATATCTAACAAATTCAGCTATTGTGTCAAATCTTCGTCTTCTTTTTGTCATTGATTTATCAGTTTTTCCATAATCGAGATGAATCAAAACTTTATCCCTTGTTTAAAATTCATGAGCCCCGAATTATTTGTTCACGTTTAACATCATTTAACCTTTCCATTTGCTTTCTAATATATCCCCATTCTTTTAAAATATCATTTTTCATTTCCACTGGTTTCATGTTTATAGTTTCTATGCCATGTATTATTGTAATAATATACTAACTGTTGTATGATGGAGTCATGATTTCCATCCCAATATATCTGACCGTTAACCCCTAACGCATCTCTAAGAGTTCTCATTACCGCATCAACTATTTTATTATGAAACGTATATGGAGAGGATGAAAAGAAAAAATTAATTTGTGGGAAATAATGAATCATAGCTGCCTGAAATCCTTTATCACCATAACCCCTTATATTATCTACTCTTTCATGATCTAGTAAGTATTGTATAGCTCTTCTTGTTTCCTGTTCTGTTTTCCCTTTCACTGGAATGCAATATAAATATCTAGTGTTAATGTTAATGGCAAATAAATAAGTAACGTTTCCTTTTGAATATTCCAGATGATCGATTTCGTATGAATATGGATATGGAGCAAATGAAGGGCGACTAAATTTTTCCTTTAACGGTTGAATTTTCGGGTCAATTGGTTTATTTAATATCTTGAAATCCTTTTTAAAATCTTTTTGCTTCTTTAATGTTTGAAATGGATATAATAAAGTGAATGATGAAGGATTAACTGAAGGAGGAGGTGGTACTGTCGTTGGAGGTTTTGGTGTTGCAAGTGGTTTAATTTTATCTGCTTTGATTTTGGATTTCATTCCCCCATCATTAATTCTGGATGTATTCTATTCATTTGTTTTAAATATGCTGTATATAAAGGTTTGATATACTTTCCCGCTTCGAGTTTATGTTGAAGGATGAATTCCAAAAGCTGATCTTCATTTAAAAGTCGGGCTGAATATGGTTTAACTAATGAATCATAAATTAAGGCTTGTGCTTCATTTATGGTCTGAGGGACCTGTGTGTTTTGCACCTTTTGTTTTTGTTCCTTTGGTTTTTGTGGCTCATGATTATATAATTTATATAATTCATCAATATCTTCTTCTGTTAATACTTTATTTTTGAAATCTTTCAACTGTTTAAGTTGTGATTTAGTTTTTTCCTTTGTATATTCATTATTTTTAATTTTGTCTTTAATTTTAGAAATTATTTTATCATGATATTTCAAAATTTCATTTTTATAATATGGATAATAATAATCCATATCATCACCCATTATATTTTCATTATATTTTTGGAGATATGATTTTAATTCATAATAATCAAGAAAATTTTGATTAAGTACTAAATCATCAATTAAATTTTTTAAATCTGTGTTATCCATTTATATAAAAATAAAATAAATGTTTAAGGGTGCCCACCTCTTTGAATCATAGTATCAAAACCATTATTTACGGTTCCTTTTGTCTCTTCTGTGGCATTTTATTAAAAATAAAATTTTAAAGTGTATTAAATAAATGGCATACAACATCCATTTTCACAACATACAGCCTTAGTGTGTGCTCCTGTTAATGCAGTCTTACCAATTGTTAAGCGAGTCATTGACCCGTTTTTAAGTTGTAAATTAATATTCTGACCATCAAATATCACTTTATCATTTATTATATCCAAATAATTTTTAGGTGTTAATTGTTTATTTTGTCGTAAACTAACACCTTTCATTTTTTGTGCAATCTTTTTAAAATCACTTCCATCAATTGAACCGTTGAATGATGTATAACACTTAGGGCATAAAGCAACCATGTTATCACCTTGTTTCTGAATTGCTAAACCCAATAACTTCTTCTCATGTGCTTTTTCTTCAGCTTTATTCTTTAATTTAGGTTTAAATTTCTCATCAAAACAGAAGAAATCAAATGGTGCGAATTTGAAAATGTTTTTATCATAAAATTGTTTATCGGTAACAATTGCTTGAAATGCTTGAGTGTTAGGAAGATTTGGGTCGCCAGCGATTGCCCAATAAGATGAATCAGTATCACCTTCAATGAAATGAAAACGATTAAGATTCATGCATTTATACATAAAATCATAAATGAAAACTAAATACCAGTATTTAGCATTATCTAAAGTGAAGAATGCCTCTTGTAAACATGTATCACATCTATAAAATCTATCTTTAAGCATCACTTGATATGTATCTTCACCTATTTCTCTTATGTTTTTAAACTTATTTGACATACATGCAACGCGTGCCTTCTGTGCATTCATTATTTTAGTCTTTGCGTAATTTTGTGTATTCATTGCATCATAACCATATGATCCATTAAGTGAAATCTTGCAAAATAAACTTTTTCCTTTATTTCCTTCTAATTCAGCCTTTTGTCTTTCATTCATAAATTTGTTCGCAAATTCATTAAAACAAGTGTTTTTAGTAAATGTTAAAATTGATTGAATATCATCGATGATAAAATGAAATCTGTCTATTAGATACCAAAGATAATAAGAAGAAAATGGTTGATATTGGTTGTATGTTGATGCTAACCGAGTTAATTTCCTCTGTTTCTGGTCAACTGGTAGATTGTTTGATTTCATGTAATTATACATAAAACTGCCAATTGTTTTTTCATCTGTGATAATATCTAAGTTTCTTATTATCGGTAAAAAGTTTATGTAATCATTAATGTATTTTTCATCAATGTGACCCTTTACTTCAGCCACGAATAAATTTTTTTCTTAATTATTCCCAATGCTTTTGCTTTCTTTGTTGCTGTATCACAAATGATAACACCATTCAATCTTCCCGGCATATACATTTTATGGTCAGTATATTGAATGAAATCATGAGGATTAGATGAAAATGATGAAGGATATAATGAATTAAAGTCAACACCAACGAAATGAGTCATGATGTTGGAAGTGTCCTCATTTGATACAGTTTTAGTTTCTGGACTATATGAAAGTTTATTAATGTGCGTGATTCCTTTAAGATTTACTCTATGTTGAACATTTGATAGACCACCAGTAATTCCATTACGGAGAATGTGATAAGCTTCAACTGAATCTAAAGTCATTGGTAAATTATTTTTTAATGCATAATTTCTTAAATTGATTCTTAAACGTTGAACATCTTCATCTTTATTTGATTTTACGACATTGCAATAACAACACATTAACTGACAATTTTCTTTGGTATGTGGTTTTTCATTATCGATTCTATCCAATGTTGGTTTATTTGCATATGTAAACGCTTTACCACACATTTTGCATTTAGATGAAAGGATTAAATCGTGATAGTATTGAAAATCATCCATTGAAACATTATTTTAGTATCTCTTTCTGCTTTTTCATCTTGTTTCTTATATGATTCAATTTTATATTTCCAATACTTTTTCGTTAATTCAAAACTTGATTCTATCTCTTCCTCAGGATATTTTTCATTAAGATTAAAGTCTTTATATGCTAAAGCGTAACGAATCATTGAAGCATTCGATGATAAAGAAAGATTATGAAGCATGTCAATTTTATAAACAAATGTTTCTTCAATAATTTTATCGATTGGGTCAATCATAATTTCAACATCTTTATTGCAATAATGAATAAAATATTCTAATCTATTCTTAAAATTTTTAGCATCATTGAGATATATTTGATAATCACTATCTGATATAGTTTCTTGGGTTAATGCTGAATAAAATGAATCTTTCGTGAATGGTTCCACTTTATATAATTCTTCTTCGTAATTCTCCCATGTGATAAATTGATAAGGGAAAAAGGATTTAACACGTGATTTATTGTTTCCGAAATCTTGAGTGAATTGGTCTAATATCCCACCCGCTATATAATTTCTGATGTCAATAAATCTCAATTCATATGGAACGTTTGTTTTCTTTACAATGATTTGCTTAAATTGTGAAGATGAACCCAGCATTGATTTTATTTTCCATTTTGCAGTGTTTAAATCACGAAGAATTAAATTTAAATCAAACTTTCCCGAATTAAAACCAATGATATTCACTTTATTAAATTCTTCATCTAAAGCTCTTTCATTGCTTCCTTTTGTTTCTCATTTAATGTATTCATTAATTCTTCATATTGTTCAATATTTGATTTAGCAACTAATGAACAGGTTGAAAATAAAAACTCAATCCAATCAGAAATAAAAGAATCACTCGAAGTTAAGCAAAAATTCCTCGTATATGTTTTATCATTTAATTTAACCGTTGATGATACCATGAATGGTTTTAAGTAAGCGTTCAAAGTTGCACACTCAGAAAGTTGTAATTCTTCTTTAGTCTCTAATGTTTCAAAGTCAAAAGTAATATAATATCTTGTCGGTTTATAATATTTCTGCAAATTGTGAGCTAATAACCACTGATATATCTTCTGTTTCATAATGTGTGGTGCATATGGTTGCTGGGTCTTTTGCAATTGAACGTCTTGAATTAATCTTCCATTATTTTCTTTACATTTCTCACAATGCTTTAAAAATCTTCTTTGGTTTTTCCTTTCTGGATCATCATGGATAGAATAAACTTCTTCTTTACAATATGGACAAACTTTATAGCCGGTGAGTGCTTCAACGTCTGTTATTCTGTCAGCGTGAAGTTTTCCACATGGACTCTGTGTTAATAAAATATTTACTGTTTCAAATTCTGGATCTATCATTATTGATTCCACTAATGGAAAGTCTACCTTATTTATGTCCACGTCTTCTGGTTGAGGATCACAATAATAGAAATCAATATTAACATTTAACATTCTCGCTAATCTCTCACTTTCTGATGAAATGTCAAACCCTTCATATGCATCTATTGCTTCATTTAAATAGCTTCTACGAGTTTTAGGATTAGCACCATCAGGAATGTTATAGAAGCGTTTAAATAACCTTCTACCTTCTGCTCTAATTTGATTATCATTCATTTTAGCTGTTCCGTTTTTGTTCATTTATGTAAGAATAAAAAATTAAAAAATAAATAAAAATAAAGTTTATTTTTTAAAGCCCATAAAATGAATTAAGAACACATAAATTTTTATCATCTGCGACGTGACGAATACATTTTAATTTACTCAAGAATGCGTACCCTGATACATTAAATCTAATTCCCGTCTTATTTAATTTCACAACTTTGAAAAGGAATGTATGAATAGCTATAAAATGATGAGAAGATGTTTTATGGGTTGCTTCCATTTTTTCTGAAATAAATGAATAAATATAATGCTTATACGTTTTCATATCTTTTATGTTCTTAATAACGAATGGTATAGACCTTTCCACTTCGTCTTCCTTCGGTGCTGTTCTTTCATATGAAACATTATTGGTATCTTCAATAATGAAACCACAATCACACAAAATTTTATAGGTTCCAATGGTTTCTTTTGATATTTTATCTAATAAATCAAAAACTTTATCAACACCTGTGCATTTATTTAAATAATAATTTGTGTAAATATCATGATCTTCTTTCTTAATCGTATTAGTCGCATATGTCACGTTTTTAAGAGCTTTTTTGAATTTTTCGGAATCTAAAGGTGGTGAAAGTAGGATACAGGGGTATCCTTCATTATCAATAAATTGTAACTTATGTTTACGAATAAATTTAGTACCTTCTTCTGAAAGTGTTTCGTCTATTTCACCATCTAATAAATTTTGTGTTGATTCTGAGACATAATTTTTATATCTTTCTTCATGAGATTTCTGAACTGCTGATTCTGAAGCTGGGATATTCATTAAACCCTCTACTTCATTTTCATTATATTTTTCAACTTCTCTTAATTCCTTAATTTTTTCATCTATTTCATCTCTTATTTTTTCCAGTCTTTCAATTTCAATTTCATCGTATTCATCATCTTTAATCCGTTCTTCATAATATTCAGGGAAAACATCAGGTTCTTTAGGTTTTTCTTCTTCAGATGTGGGATATAAGAAATTTATAACATCATCTTTATTCATTTTTCCATCATAATCTAAATCATTTAATAACTCGGCAAATTTTTGACAATTTCTTAAATAATATTTACTAACTTCATAACACATCTCATCTAATATATCCTTTATTTCCTCGTTTGTGAATCCTAATTTTTTAACGTTGTTAGTTTTGACGCTCATTTCATACGAATTAAAAATAAAATAATAAACATAACTAAGTTTCTAATTTTTCGTAAGAAGTTTATTTTTTAAAGTTTATTTTTTATTCATGAAAATAATTATTTCTAATTTCTTTTACTCTCTCGTATATACTAGATTTAAAGAATTCAGAACATTTCCCATAATCTCCTAAATGTTTTCTTATCCCTAACGTGTGCCAGTTATTATATGAAACTGTATAAACTTTATCTTTATCTTTACACCTTTCATCACTTCCAATATATTTATATCTCAGTTTTGATTTATTGGTTTCATATTCATTAACGTTTAATAATTCACAGTCTTCCTTTTTAAATATATGTTTTATGTATTCAGGATTTAATACTCTACGTTTATATGCTCCTAACTTAGTTCTAAAGGTTTTTCTACAAAATTTAGGAATTCCATCCTCTTTAATGTCATCAATGATTTCCATTTCATTATTTTCAATTTCTTCTTCTCGTTTATGAGGTCTTTGATTATGACTCCATTGATTCCATGAAATTAAATATTCTTTATCATTATATTTATACCTCATTAGCTTATTTTGGCTTTCATATTCATTTAATAATTCACAATCTTCATTTTTAAATTGAAGTTTAACCCATTCAGGATTTAAACAATGTTTAATTAATCGCGGAATATCTGACATCATCTATATATAGCTTCTTTTATAAAAGATAAAAAAATAAATTATTTTAAAATTAATGTTAATTTTTTAATGATTTATAAATAAATATATTTTAATGCATCGTCTATATATAGTTGTAACAAAAAAAGTCACACAACCCTTCATATCCTACTACTTTTATACAACAAATCAAAGGAACCCGAAGTAAATGACGAGCGTGAATTACAGCGATATTATGAGGAACGAATAAAAAATATTTTGAATAACACTGCCTTATATAGTAAGAAACGATATGCAAAAGTTGAGACGTTGAGGGATTATGTAAAATCTCAATTGTTAGGAATACCAAATAATGAAATAACTAATGAACGGTTAAAATATTTTCAATCATTATATGATATTTATCATAAAAATGAAAAGGCAGAGAAAAAGAAAAAAGAAATGAAGGGAAAGAATGAGAATTTTAAAATGAATGAAGTAGATGAAAAGATAAACGAAGAAATAAAGAAAAGGGAAAAAGTTTTTAAATCGAGTCCATGGAGAAGTAAAAATAAGCTCATGAATTATGGTGAAAGGATGAAGTGGGGATTTGATAAAGTTAGGGATAAGTTAGAAGAAAAAGAAAGGGATTCATTCGATTTGAAAGGAAATAAAAAATATTATATGAAAACAATAGGGACAAAAGGAACTTATATTATAGATTATTTCATTTCTGATGTGTTCGTGTGGTTGTTAGTTGTTGAGATGAACACTAGAAGAACTTATGCCATATTGAGTTCATTAATTACTAAAATTAATGGTGAATGGAAAGCACCAAAAGAAACGAAGGAGAATATGACAGCGTTAAATACAATTCAGTCACTAAATTCATTAATAATAAATGGTGTAAACATTAAGCATTTAGTCTGTGACCAAGAGCCAGCGTTTACCGGTAATGATTTAGCATATTGGTGTATAGAAAACGGAATAACTTTGAGGGTTTACGTTAAAAATAAAGTTTCAAATTTTGTAAATACCAACGAAGAATCAAGAGGGAACCATTCAACGCTATCAATTTTAGATAGAATCTGCCTGACATTACGAACTATGAACTATAACGCAGGATATGGGACTATCATTTATCCTGAAGTTATGGAATATTTAGTAGATGAATACAATAACTCACCCAACACAACGTTTAGTAAATTTTTCAAACATCCTGTATCACCAAACATGACGGATGAAATGGAGCGTGAATTTTGTTTATATTGTGCCAAAATGAATTTCATAACTCATGAAGAACCTAACTTTGATGTAATCGGTCAAAGAGTGAGAATTTATAATGAAGCGTCCAGTATGGATAAACTGAAAAATAAACTATTGGAGGGAATTTTTAAAGTTAATGGAAAAGAAGGTGGTTTGTTCGTTTGTGAATCATTAATGACAGGTGATGTTGTTAAAGTTCCTCGTTGGATGTTAAAAGTTGTTGTTTAATATTTAATTTTTTATCCCTTATTAAATGACGTATAAATTTTTAAATGGTGAATTGAAGAACTTAAAAAACATCAAACCTCTTGAAGTCGTTGAATCATTCAACCCTGAAACCATTAGCTTTAACACAGTTGATGAATTCAATAAATATTATGCACTCAATGAAGAGGAATTTATGACATTATCCACGTATAAATTAAATCTCAAGTATAAAATACCAGGGTATAAAATAACGAAACCGAAAGATAAAGACAGTAAGGTGACCGTTAAACTTATCACTGATTATGTGGCATGAAAGATTAAAAATGAAGAAATGAAGGAAGGAGGAAATGAACGAATAAATAAAATTGAGGAAGAATTAAAAGAACTGAGCGAAGCCGTTAGTAAATTATACATGGTAATAAATGAAATGACAAATAATAAAATATTAAATTAAATTTTTTATTTTTATTGAAATGAACATGAACGCCATGATAAGTTTAAAGCGAGAAGAAGCGAAGAACTCCCAAAATGTAAACGTAAATGTGGAGCCTAAAACCTCAGTATATCTTTCAACCGACCGTATGCCATTAAGTGAATCCGTTAAGTCTCGAGATATTGAAATATTACCACCACCACCTGAATATCCTGAAGTTAATGAAGACGGAAAAGATAAAACATTTTATGAGCAACAAATAAAGAAGCTTCAATGTGAAATCGAGGTGCTAAACACAATGTTGGAGATGTTAAAAGATAATCCAATATATATTAATAAATTAGTATTAGTCGATGATGTGGTATTAATGAAATTTGTTAAATTACTCACTGATGCTGAGGATGTACAGCTGGACGATGAAGATTTAGGCAGCGGTTGCATTACTAAAAATAAATATCGCAGGGTTAATGCTATATATGTTATCAAGAATGGAGAGACTAAAAATGTTAAATATGATTACCCAGAAGTTATGAAAAGATTAAAGGAAGTAGGGGTAAATGTTAAAATAGTTTGGTAAAAATAATTTCTCATTTATTTTTTTCATTTATTTTTCATCTGCTTTCTTCACAGTTGCTTTAACTTTTCGTTCAAATTTACGACATCTCATTATTTTGCCGTCTTTCTCCAGCTTAAACCTTGTCTTATTATCCAATAAATTAAAGTTTATTTCTTCACCCCAGTATAATGCTTTATATAATTTTTTAACACGTCCTTTATAATATTTGTTAGCATGATTTATTATAGTTTTTGATGGAATACATTTTAATCTGAAATGTTCAGCTGTTTGTCATTTGTCATTTCTTAATAAATCATAATAAATTTTCTTTCCTGCTGATATATGAAGAACACAGTAAGCGTCTTCTAATTCGTCAAAATCGTTATGAAATTGACCCATATCTGAACCAATTAACTCACGACCATATCTTTTCTTAAATTCATCAGCCAGCATAGATATTTTTTCATCTTCTATATGCAGTCGTCATCACCTCGTTCATTATACGCTTAGACATTGACAAATCAGAGACGCCGAATACTGGGCTGTTAAATTGTGTATCCCAAACTTTGCACATTTTGAAACACCATAAATTAGATTCATCAATTTTGTAAAATTCTTCTACTTGATGCCAGTGACTATATAAATAATAATCTTTTTTATCATCTTCTATATACGTATTAGTTGTTTTTATCGTTTTCTGGATAGTTTTTCCATATGCTGAATTCATGATGAGCTTTAATATTTTTTCCATCGGATTTTCAGCTTTTTTGTATACTCTCCTTAAATCATAAATTTTTCTAATTACATTTCGTATTCTATGGTCCCTGTTACCTTTCCAAATTAAGCCACCCAATATTTTATAGCTAATGTTCTGATATTTTACCAAATCCTGAAGCGCTATCATGTCCACCCTCATTTCTCCTTTTTCGTTTACGTTTCTGTTTAATCCGTTTTCATCTCTTAAAACAATTAACGGAAAGTCTCTACTTTTTCCAACATTAGTTATTTCAATATCTACCACAAAATAACTCAAATCTTTATCTTTCGTTGGTTCTGTTTGGTCTTCATCGAATGCACGAACTAATAAAGGGTGGGATTATTGACATCATAAATTTTATTATCTATCAAACATTCATTTATAATTTCTGGCTTTCCCTCAATTGTGAATAGTCTATTCATTGCTGATGGGTATAAACTGCAGGCGTCAAAGTCATTTAATTTATCCTTTACAACATATCTTTTATTATTTTTAGTCATGCAACGCCCGCCATAAATTGCACCCATTATGTATTCCTTCACACTTCCTGATATTTCGTATAAATTACCGTTAGGATAAAATACCTCACGATTTAAAAATTTATTGGCTAAACTTGGAACAGTTGTTATATCGTAAATGTCCATTTTTATGGGTTCCTGAAGACAAACAGAACGGAAAGCACTAAATCCAACTCTTAAAACATTAACGTCTTGTTCACAATAGAATTCACAATATTTGAACATGTCGAATGTTCCTCTTTCCTTCTCTGCATTAATCATTTTCAAATTCTCTTTAAACGTTGATTTTTCATTCTTACCCCATTTAGGTGTCTCATCGTTTCCTACTTCATCAATAATTCCCACTCCTTGTGTTTCATTAATTCTGTCATAAGTGTAATATCTATATGGGAATAATTCCTTTTTAATATCTGTTCCCTTAAATGCATTAGGGAAACACGCCGGAAAATTACTTAATTTCTCTGTGAATATGCTGTATGAGTCTCTTAACTCAATATGTTTTCCATTATATATGTGTTTCTGTCTAATTATTTTTGACCCTTTCATGATATTATTTTTTATTCCAAATTTCATTAATATTCTGCCATCGTAACCTAAATTATGAAAATATATTATCGAGTTATTCGGTAAATAATTCATTAACTGCTCATCACAATTAAACCCTGTGAATGTCTTTTTTATGCTACCATCTTCATTTGATAAGCACAGCATAAATGGGATTTCTTGACCTTCTTTATTACATGTCTCAAAATCACCGAACCAGTAACTTTTCTCCACTTTCTTTTCATTATTATTTTCATTTTCATTTATTCTGTCCTTCATTATTCGAAAATTTCTTTTATCAATATTTTTAATTCCCTTTACGTTTTCCTTTGGCACAAATTGCATAACTTTAGCCTTATCCACGTCTTTATCGTTTCTATATAATGGCTCAAAAGCTCCGACCTCCTCTAAATTTAAAATTAGGTTTAAACTTGACATGTGAGCTTTTTGTGTGCTTGTTTCAAAACGTCCATGGGCACATTTATATGCTTTCATCATTTGCTCAGTTGTCCAATTTCTCAGCTTACCGTAAGCGCAAACTTTAACATAATTTTTAATGAAAAAGGTATTAATGGACACTTCTTCATTTATGAAGTAATGATTTTTATAAGTAAACAATGAGACAGAGTATTTATAACCTTCAGTGGGTCCATAACATTTGCCGGGTTTGTTCTCATTAGCGATTCTTACCTTACCACTTTATCGTCTACATACCTTAACACACATTTTATTTTGTATTCATCGCAAATCTTACTTAAAACATTAGTGGGACAATATTTAGAATCTAAAAACCTGTTCGAAATCTCCACTAATAAATTTTCATCTTTAATAGTAAAACTTAAAGCATATAATAAACAGTTATATTTCATTTCCTCTCTGCACTCATTATTTTCATTTGTCAATTTCGTGAATATTTGATACCTTTTAAGGAATGGTTCAAAAATTTCAAATCCTTTCTTCAATCTATAACACCAAAAATTGCTCTCTTTCATGTTTTTAGCATTTGCTGGCTTCTTTATCTTATCATGAATGGTGAAATATATGACATCGAAAAATTCCAAATATAATTTGGTGCCATCATCTGAAATGTTGCCGCTTAATTCTTCGATTTTATAAATGAACTGACCATTTAACATTTGCTCGAATCTTTGTCTAAAACTTTCTTTATCGATTGGTTGGCTTCTCTCCTGACCATTTACGATATAATGAACCAAAATTTTTCTTTCAATCGGTTGAGTCATTATATGCTTTTCGTAAAATTCTTTTAATTTCTGATCCACAACCCTGAGTTCATCTTTTCCATAAATTCTCAAGTCTAACTTTTCCCCGAATGGATTTTTATCTAATCTTTCAAATGTACCTTCGATTCTTTCTTTTACATCATCGTTGTAACTCTTCACGTCTTCATAAATCCTCATAGCTTCTGCGTTTAATTCACGCTCGTATTCTTCGTCCATCTCTAAATTCCCTTTATTTATTTCATTCATGTATTCCTCCACTTCTTTTTCATTCTTTATTTCCTCATCAATTTCATTTCTTACTTCCTCCGCTTTCTTTTCATCTTGTTCATAAAATTCATCTTCTCCTCTACGTTCTTCATAAACATTATCGTCAATTTCTTGAACTTCTTTAAGTTTTTCATGGACATCAGCCCCGCCACTTTGCGGCTTTTCTTCATTCCCGTCAGATGTAGGATATAAGAAATTTATAACATCATCTTTATTCATCTCACCCTCATAATCTAAATCATTTAATAACTCCGCGAATTTTTGGCAATTTCTTAAATAATATCTGCTAACTTCTATTCCTGCTTCATCCAATATTTCGTTTATTTCCTCGTTAGTGAATCCTAATTTCTTCACGTCGTTTGTCTTAACACTCATTTTATATAAAATAAAAAAAATAAAAATAAAATTAATTTTAGCTCTAATTTTCCAAACTCTAATTTTTCATGAAATTTTCATCATTTGCTTTATCACTCATTATAAATTTATTTAATTCATTTATTAAATCATTAATGATTCATGTGTGACTTCAATAATTTTTATAATGAATTTTTCATTAATTCATAAAATATTTGGGTTTTATTTAAAATTTCATTTTCTCGCTGTTGTAAACAGAAATTCATCAAAAGTGACACCTCAGAAAAGCTAAAATATTGAATTTTTGGAACTTTTGATAGAGCACGTTTTTAAATATTAATTAAAGTAAATGTATATTTTGTAAAGATTCTTTTTAATAAAAAAATAAAATTTTGAAGAAGAACACAAAATCTTCTGAAAAATAATATCACATAAACTCATATTATTTTCTAATATATAACTATTTTATATAAAATCAAATTCAATGATCTTAAAAGCGAAGGATAAACCTCAAAATTTACGAATATAATGAGTGGGAATATAATGCTTATCTATCATAAAACCATATGAAATATTAATTTTTGCTTTACGCCTAATTTTTGACGACAATTAGCAAAAAATGTTAAATGTTAACACTCAGTCCATTTGAATATGAAAAATAAAATTGACTTTGATTAAATGTTTTTATTTATCATGCAATTCTTCTTGCGACCAAAGATTTGAATAAAAGTTCAAAAAATAAGATAGCTTAAAAAATAATATACGGTAGTGTTTACTAATAGATGAATAGTATATAAATTCTATTAAAATGGATTTGATCCAAAAAAATATAAAACCAAAAATAATTGTTATAATTTAAATGAAGAAGTAATTTAAAACGATTTTATTTATGATCAAATTTTATATATTTATTTGGATCAAATCCATTTTAATAGAATTTATATACTATTCATCTATTAGTAAACACTACCGTATATTATTTTTTAAGCTATCTTATTTTTTGAACTTTTATTCAAATCTTTGGTCGCAAGAAGAATTGCATGATAAATAAAAACATTTAATCAAAGTCAATTTTATTTTTCATATTCAAATGGACTGAGTGTTAACATTTAACATTTTTGCTAATTGTCGTCAAAAATTAGGCGTAAAGCAAAAATTGATATTTCATATGGTTTTATGATAGATAAGCATTATATTCCCACTCATTATATTCGTAAATTTGAGGTTTATCCTTCGCTTTTAAGATCATTGAATTTGATTTTTATATAAAATAGTTATATATTAGAAAATAATATGAGTTTATGTGATATTATTTTTCAGAAGATTTCATTCTATATGCCTATGAAAAGTACTCTCAAAACTAACTTTTTCCTAATTATAATTAAATCTAGAATATTGTATTATGCTTAGTATTATTTCATTTTTCTCATTCAATTTAGAATTTACAAATGTCAAAAAATTGAGAGCTGTCACTTTTGATGAATTTCTGTTTATTACACTCGCTAATGATTTTTTCAACTTCTCACATTGATTTTATAATAATTTTTCTCATTAATTTTAATTTTTTATTTTTGTCACTCTCGCCCACACTCTCATGCTTTGTGGTCTTTCGCTACCCTTAATTTTTCACATTATCGTAAAAAATCCTAATAAAGTTAATGACGTGTTTAAAAAAGTTAAATATGATTTAAAAAATTTTTCATTGGTGATGTCATATGCGTGATGTGTGATTTATTGACGTGAATGTGGAAAACAGAAATGATGAGAGCACAGAAGCGGAGAGAATGGGTCTCAACTGAATGTTTTTTTCGTTCACTCTATAAATCACACTTCACATACTACTTATTAAAAATCAAAGGTAAAAAAATATTATTTTTTTAAATAAAATTCTCAAAAAAGTCTTCCTATTACCAGTCTGCTTTAGAAATTTTGGTGGCAAAGTGTCAGTCTTTTGGAAATGAATCAATTATAAAAAACAAAATCTAACAGTTTAATATATAAACAAAAAAAAATTCTCTATTAAAAATAAAAAACAAAAAACAAATTCATGAAAATACAGAATAAGATCCAGGCAAAGGAATACTGAATGTATTTGTTGTTCCTTTACCCTTCAAAAACACATCATTCCTTTCGAAAGCGTTGTAATATCCTTCAGGAAGTGTGTGATATGTTTGTGGTAACATCTGAATTGTATCAATATAAGAAGAAGTTTCCAATCTAGCAGACACATTCACAGCATCACCCCAAACATCGAACAAAGGTTTCTCTCTTCCCAAAACACCTGAAATTATCGGTCCATCGTAATTTACACCGATATTCAAGTGAATTTTTGTTTCTTCAGTGTTATTTCGTTCCATTACCCATTTCCCGCAAGCCAAACAGAACTCAACAGCTTCGTGAACAGGTGTTCTATCTGATACTTCATTGAACAATCCAGCAGCTGCCATGTAGACACCATTAATCATCTTGATTTTGACAAGTGTTGGATATTTCGCGATTTTTCTATCAAATTTCGAGAAAATTACATCCAACAATTGCATGATGTCTTCATGGTTTTTATTCGTGCACCATGACACGAAATCATGGATACCAATGAAGATAATAACAGCTTTATCGACACATGAAATAATGTCTTCTCTATCACTTTTTGACATCAATCTTGTCGCAATAACTTTTGGCATAATTTTTGTGAGGAGATTTTCAACACGAGCTTGAGCACCTTTTAATTCTGATTCAGAGCGATTGAATTCTGTTATATCTCTAAGAATAAAAGCATATGTCATTTCATCACCCCACATTTTGATATCAGTCATTTTAATTACTTTGCAACTTACCAATTTCAAATTTCCATTTCCTGTACGAATTGTAACTGTATTTTCAACTTCAGTTACAGAAGAAGTTTTCGTTACAGACATAATATTATCAGGTGTATTGTTGTCTTCACTCTGATCAACAAACAACTGGTTAAACATTTGGTTCAAATTAGAATTATTCGATTCATTGACATCAGACAAAATTTGAGTAATTTTCTGTTGAATTATGTCTTCTTTCTTTCGATTTAAAATAGAAATTGCAGAGTTATTCACATCTTGAATAATTCCTAAACTATTCACCATCAAGATTCCATTCAATGACTGCTTAATTATATGTCTAGAAAGAGAAACTTCATTTGATAAATTATCGTTTTTCTTCTTATTACTAAACAAATCAAATGCCATAGTTATTGCTTGTTTGTTATTATTTGGAATGATCAAAAGAAAGTTCTTGAAAACGGAAAACTCAGAAAAATACATATATATTCTATAAACAACAAAAATTAAATAAATTAAGCTGAAAAATGCAGCGATAACTCTATTAAATACTCTAAATATATCATATTGATTTCTATAATAAGAAATAATATCTTCGCAAATTAAACTAACATTTCCTGTTGTTTCTACTAAATCAATAAAAGCAATTAAAGTTGCTTCTTCAATTAATGAATTATTTGTAAATCCGCCTTCACCAAATTTTCTTGTAAGATTTGTAATTAAGTTGAATTGATCAATAGCTGTATTCAATAAATTCTTAATGTCACCTTTTGACGATTTTCTGTATATTTTATCGTCATAACCGAATTTATCTGACACTTTTCCAAGAATGAATTGTCTAAGGATCCTAAATTTAGTCATATTTGCTGTTTTCTCGCCCAAGTTCTTTTTCATTACTTCTATCAAATTATAATTAATAATTTGTTGAACGGCAGCTGTTGATTGATACAAATTTGTCGAAATTGTCTCATAATAAGAAATTCTATCAAAATAAGTCAAAATAGGGAATGGATAACAAAATACTAATGTACTCCATAACACATAGAAAATAACTGATATCAAAATATACAAAAAAGTGCCATTCATTTTTTGAATGAAATTTTCTCTTTTTGTTTTTTCCGTCGATAAAACTTTATCAGGATCAATTGTCTTGTATTCAAGATTTTGATCATTTTTAGATGTACCTGAACCGGACTCTAATTCATCACTTCCTAAAATGTTGTTTTCTGATTCATTGAAGTCACTTTTTGAAAAAGAAGATTGATTTGTCAAACCGTAACCGTTAATCAATCTTTTTCTTGTTTCTTCAAGACAGTTTGGATCAATTTCAATCAATGAGTTCCAGAAATAGTTTCTTTCTGTTTTGCGACGATAGATGGCAAAATAACCGCTTGACAAATGTAAACCCGCCAAAACAACCAAATACATAATTGTCACATATACGTAAAGGTTCTTAAATTCAACGAGAAAACGATGACTTTTTGATTTCACTTCATCAGCAAAAATCGAATTCATAAAAATAGTAGAATTAAACAAATCATTTGATGTTTCCAAATCTTTTCTTGTATCTTTTGAACATTGCAAAGTATAATTCGTATTCAACAGAATTGCCAAAGAACTTTCACTTGTATGCAATGTCAAGTTCTGTTGTTTATACAATGATTTGCTTGTCCATGTCGTCGAAACATCATTTGGTTTTGTTGTTTTGACATTAAATACATAAATATAATCAGAAAATTCAGAAATATAATCAGAAAAATCTTCAAATTCTTTGAGATCTTTCGTTTGATTGACTAATCCATTAAATTCAGAATTACATGATGATACTGCTTCCAATGTCACTTTTACGATAGAATTGACAGGAAGTGAAGTGATGTTCTGAATTTTATTAATAATATTATGAGATCTTCCTTTAGCGACAACAACGTAATTCGGAGGATTTGCTCTCATTGCAGCTACACAAATAACAAAAGCAATCAAAAGAAAACTACAAATAGTAAACGATCTCAATCCAAAACTATAAATTGTATTCAATGTATTTTGTGAAGCCAAATTTTGTGCTGAAGCAAATTCAAAGTTATGGGATTGAGAATTACGACTTAATCTTATCAATGATGATGAATTCGCTTTGTTGACTGTACCAAAAATGATGTTGTCATCTGAAAAATCTCCTGATGATATTTCTCGTTCTATTCCACCGAAATTATGTCGCCAAGCAACGGAAAGATTGAAATCCGCATTGATCTCAGTGAAATAAGTTGAAATAACATAACTCAATTTTTGCGAATTCGGACAATTTATCGTGTAAATTTTCGCGTATCGTTCAAAAATGTGACAATAATGTTGGTACATCAACAAACAGATTTCTATGTCATCGGGTTGTGCCATGGATATCATTTCCACGATTTTGAAGTAGATTTTTCGAAGTTTGTTGAGAATTTTGTGAAGATGAGTGATATAATTCTCAACATCGTCATCATCAGGGTTGATTGAGAAGACTTCATACTGTAGATCGCATAATAATTGTCTTTTAGTGATGTTTACGCTTTGTCTGGACATATTGCGAATTTCAATGAGGTCTTCTGGCTCAAGGGAGTGCATTAGAGCTAAATATCGGTAACAGTCAACTCTTAGATTGTTGTCTTGACTGTTTTTAGCGCAAAACTTGGCATATTTTATTGCTTCATGTGGTGATCCGTAAATTAATTCGACTAATTTATGGTTTGCATGCTTTAGCTTGGTACTTATGTATTCATCGTCTTCGTAAATGTTTTCGTCAACATTATCTAGGTCATTTAATTCAATATCTGAGTTTTCTTTGTTTAAATTTGGAGTTTCATGGACTTTTGTAGTATAAAAGTGGTCGACGATGATATCAGTTATGTAGAAAGCTATGATAATAAGGAAGGATCCGATAAAAGCATGCTCTGGGTAGAAAATTGAGTGCCATCCTTGATAAAGAATGCATGTAATGGTATCTAAAGCGCATAAAACCCAAAACACAATCATTATGTATTGATCCTGCTTCCTGTAGAATGGATTTTTTATAACAACTATTACTTGGATTATTGAAACTAATAAATTTAAACCAAGAATGGTGTATTTAGCGTAATTTTTGCAAAAATGAACAGATGTTCTTAACTGAAATAGAAAAGCAAGGACGTATCCGCCATATGTAATTGGAACTAAATTCCAGCCCGCTAAGAATACGGAATGAGTAAATAATGTATGTGACGATATGATTTTATGGACTATAAAGGCATTAAGAACAAGAATTGTCGAAATAATGATCAAAACCATGTTTAAGACGCTGAGTTCATCTAAAAATGCGTACTGAGTTTCGCTCTGCAGTATAGCAAAGGTACTTATCTGTAAAATCGGATTTAAAAATTCTAAAATAAATCTAGCAAAATAAGTAAAAGATTTGTGGAGTAAAATAGAGTTGTAGTATCTGAACATTAATATCAAGACAATCGATAGTATTATTGAATAGCAAAATACGAACAATACGCGGGCAAATCTTGGAATGTATGAAATATAAAGAAGTCCGTCAAGAATGTCGTATATTAGAGATCGCATTGTATTACTTTCCTTTGGAATCAGCAGAAATCCTGATGCAAACGGAAATAAAATTACAAAATAGAAAATATCACGAACAATATGAAGCCAGTTCGGGAATCTCGGACTACCATTAAGTAAATGACCAGCTTGATAGAATCTTCCCCAGCGTTGGTCAATACTATTAATGGGTATCATAGAGATCGAAATAAGTAATAAAAATTTTTTTTCATCTAAGGTTGAACTTCAACAAGTTTTATTCATAGCCACGTAAAATGATAGCCAAACAATTATTAAAAAAGCTTCAATTTTTTTCTATGAAATTGTTAATCATATTGAATTATTTGAAATGGCTTTTAAAACTCATTAAGGTTTGCACTTCATATAAAAAGTATTGGAATATATACACTGAAGCAAATTCATTTTTTTTAACAAATTGAAAGGATTAATTAGAAATGGTATAGCTATCAATGAGCCAGTTTGTAATGAAACCAGAAGTATAGGTAGAGTATTAGTCCATTATTGCATAATTTGCTTTGATTTCGCTGTTAGAAGAAAAAATATTTCTAATTTTTTCAATTTACAAGCTTTTCTATTATCAAAATAGTGATTACAAACCATGATATTTCAATCTATATAAGCACATAACTCTTTATGCTCGAAAATATGAATTGATCAAGGGATTAATTGATAACTCCATCATCACTAGCATAAAATAGACCTGTAGAATTGCGTAACTGATATTTAATTGTATTTATTGGTTTTTTAAAATTTTTTGTCGAATGAATAACTTTTTGGTCAAAAGAATATTTCATTTGCATTACAATTGGTACAAATATGCTATTAAATCATTGGTTGAAAATTTTTTTATCAAAATATTGAAAAGTAATCGCGTTGTTTGAATAATTCTAACTAGATAATATTGTATCGAAATAAGGTCAGGTAAGTGGGGCTTCCAGGCGCGTTGCGCCCTCTAGCCCATAAGAAATTTTGCCCAAGACCCAAGAGGAGGACCGAACCCCAGCCGACCAGCCGGTGACAAAACCAAAACCGTTGTTATTTACATCATATTAACGGTGTCACTTTTTAAATGTCACTTTTCTGTCACTTTTCACAAATTATATATGTTTTCATGTTTTGTCACTTTTCTGTTACTTTTCGGGCAAAAACATTTTTATTATTATATATAAATGAATTTTACAAAACCACCGTTACCGTTCTTTGGAAATAAGAGTAGATGTAAAGATATTATATTGAGACAACTTAAGAAACTACCGAATGGTCTAACATTTGTAGATTTGTTCGGTGGAAGTTTCTATATATCCCATTTATGTCATACCGTATTTCCTGACTCAAAGATTATATGCAATGACTTCGACAACTATATGGACCGTCTCAAACATATTCCAGACACAAATAATATATTGAAAGAGTTAAAAGAAAAGATACCTATAGGTAAGATGGAACGTATACCATTAGATAAGAAAAATATTGTGAGAGAGGTTTTGAAAAAAGCAGAATATATAGACTGGGATAGTATATCTGCTAGACTATTATATAGTGGTGCTATAAGAGTTCATGACATTGAAACACTTATGTCAAAAGTTTTATATCTTAACTATACAAATGTTTTCAAAGAGGACATAGAAAAATATATTGAGGGTATAGAGTTTGTGAGATGTCGTTGGACAGAGTTGTATGAAAAATATAAAGACAAGGAAAATGTTTTCTTTATAGTGGACCCGCCGTTCTATAACACATGGGATTTTCAATACCAAGTAGACTGGACTTTAAGAGACTCTTTAGAAACTTTAGACGTTATACATAACCATCCATGCTTTTACTTTACATCCGATAAAAGTGGTTTGGAAAACCGTTATGAGATGGTTAGAGGACATACATGACTATGAGTTTAGATATGACAAGATAGAATATGAGAGAGGTCCTATAAACCGGAGAAAGTGTCACAATAAAGAAATTTTATTAGTAAGTAAATGTGGTTTGAAATAGGACTACTTGTTTTAGGTTTTTTCCATTGTGTCATTTATTTATTTGACGTGGCAGAAAAGTACAGAGAATATGAAGATGAACCCCCTGTTCAGTATATGTACTCGTAAGAGATATTTTATCTAATATTAAATGGACGCACAGAACTTAGCGAATGCACAGCAACCTGGACAACCAAACCCAGAGAATATTCCAAATGAAGTTAGAATACAAACTGCAATGGCAAACTATGGTCAAGTGCCAACAGATGTACAAATGCAAACTGCCATGTCAAATGACGCTGCGTTAGGTTTGCCACCATGGTATGCAAAATATGAGATGGAAAGAGTTTTATACAAACCTGAAGTGGGATATAAACAACTTTATGCAGATGACGCGAACACAGGAGTTGACCCAGAATATGTTTTCTACCAGAGGAGAAACAGAATGTATGAGCTCCAGTTAAAGAATGCTATGGAACTCAACAGGAAACGTAAGAGACTAGCGGACATTAGATTTTTACATATAGTAAAATGGGTTTCTTCAGTAAGATAGGAAACTTCTTTCGAAATGTTGGAAGAGGTATATGGAATGGAATAAAATCTGTCGGAAGAGGAGTATGGAACGGTGTCAAAAATATTGGTAAAGAGTAGGTCAGTTCGTTGGTATTATACCTAAAGACCCTGAACCAGAAGAGCAAGCTCCTGTTATACAACAGCCTGAACCTGCACCACAGTCTAGTTGGCAACCAAATCCAACACCTCAACTGTATTAAAAAATTATATTTTTATCGTTCGATAGTAGTTGTATATGAAACTAAGTTCTAAGTAAAACGCATGGTATAATGGAATTATTCTTTTTCTTCCATCTGTAGTAAACCATACTTGAAAGTCTGAAATACTTCCACTCGGTGGTTCATATAACTTTGTAGGTTTTTCGTAAAAGTCATTCATCAGACATAGAAAGAGTTTTGCGCCCAAAAAATGAAGCATGAACAATAATAGCATCTGGGTCGAAAATATTTTCATATGTTCCATTAGGTTTTTCGACTTCATAATAGTCCGGGTGTACTGGATATGCTGCAGGCTGATTTAACATCCTCATAAATCTATACCATGCCAAGTTGTTATATTTTGTAGAAATATAAACGTTTTCTCCAAGGTCTTCTATTTTATTGATTTTAACAGTTGCATTTTTCCTGTCATAAATAATATCGAGATGGTATTCTCCTTCGTCAATGTTAAACTGGTTTGCATATTCAATATATATGTTTATTTTTTCTTGAAAAGCTTGAAGAGTTGTTTCTAAGTTTATAAGCAAATTAACTTGTAAAAGTTTTCCTTGTCAAATTTCTCATACATACGTTTTTCTTTGTTATAGTATCGAAAAACCGACCGTAAATGGGAAACCATGTAATGGCTTTGAAATGAACTTCATTCTCGAAAGCCAAACTTTCGGATGGGGTCTCTTAACCATCTTAATGGGTAGTCAAAACGATAGCCTTCATGCTTTACGGTATCTGTCTCAAACTTTTGACCGACATTAGTAAAAAGTTCATCTAATGGTTTAGTGTAGCAACTCTAGAATTTTCCTATTGGAAGCATATTTTATCTATAATAAAAATGTCAAATGAAACAGCGTCTATGAGAGAAATACAACACCGACAACTCATTATGCAAGCTCTAAATAAGAACACAACAAACTTTTCAAACTATTCTAAGATATCTGAGTCATTGAAGGATGGAAACTTAAAACTGACATTAAACCCAATGACAGATGAGTTTCTGTTTCAAGACAATAAGAACCATACTGTCTGTATAAATCCAACAAAAGGAACTTTAAACGAGAAACCTATAAATGAACTTCTTTTGAAAGCAGATGTTGACAACAAAGCTGACAAAGAATATGTAGACGATGCAATAGCAAAAGAAGAAGAAAGAGCTAACAATGCTTATGCAACAAAAGAACATACTCATCCTGAACTAGCAGACAAAACATATGTTGACAATAAAATGTCAAGTGAAGTGACAAGAGCTGAAAACGAATATTCTAAAAAGACTCATATACATTATATTAACCAAATACCAAGTCTTAAGGAAACATTAGAGACAAAAGCAGATAAGACTCATACACATTCTATATCTGATATTACAAACTTACAAGAAACCTTAAACAGGAAAAGTGCCGTTGGACATACACATACCATTGCAAATATTACAAACTTACAAGAAACCTTAAACAGGAAAAGTGACGTTGGACATACACATACCATTGCAAATATTACAAACTTACAAGAAACCTTAAACAGGAAAAGTGCCGTTGGACATACACATACATCTTCTGAAATAACAGACTTAAACGTTAGCCTTGAAAATAAAGCAGATAAAACATATGTCAATGAAATATACCAAAGTTTGATAGGAACAAAAAATATTGAAACTATTGTTGGTGACTTTTCTGTCAAT